AGTTCAAGTTGGAGGAGGAGGACAGAAGATTCCTGAAGGGAGAGCTTCAAGGGGGAAAAAAAAAAAAAAAAAAAGAAGCTGGAAAGCTGAGGACTGAATTAATGATAGGTACATAGAAGATTAAGCAAATAAACAAGAGACAATAATGGCTTCCAGAAATAACAACTAAGGAAGGTACACGAAAGAAATGGATCATAGCACACTACAGAGCTTGATTGTGAACACTCATTTATCCAGTCATAATAATATACCTTATAGTGTTGACTTAATAAAAAAAAAATGGTATAATTGTATTAGGAGAAGTAGAGGAGGTACATGGGATGGTGGTAAAAGCATGCTCAAACTCATTGTAGTAGGAAGTAAGGAACAATATCTAGCATTGAAAGAAAATGCCATATAAGCATGCTATTTAGATACACTGAGCTCACTCTAGAATTAGGTAAAAGAGCTGGAAGTCATTGCATTTGGGCAGCAAGGATTGGGGGCTGGAGGGCTGGGGGAGGACCTGAAATCACATACGTGTATCACTCTGACTATAAGAAGGGCTCAAGTGTCTCCGTGTGTATCCAGACTGACAGCTCAAATAGGCCCAGTGGGAACTGAGGGATTGTTTGTGGTCGACGACGTGTTAACAACAGTCGGAAGAATGAGCAGGGGCACCCTTCTTTGCTGTTTTTCACATGGCAGTGGCAGAGGACCTTCCTTTTTCTGATTCTTTGAAAATAAATTCTTTACACAACTTCTTTTCCTGTTGGAAACCCGTGTATTCAGTGTTCAGCTCATGTTCAGTTTCAGCTTTTGATGAGAGAGCTGGAGGAAGCGGGCCAGCGTGTGGAAATCTGGCTTGGTCACGTACCAGCTTTGGGCCCGGGCTAGTTACTTCAGCCCTTTCCGCCTCCGAAAATGGTGAAAACAGGGCTGCCTGGGTGGCCCAGTTGGTTAAGCGGCCGATTTCGGCTCAGGTCAGGATTTCACTGTTTGCGAGTTCAAGCTCTGCGTCGGGCTCTGTGCTGACAGCCAGCTCAGAGCCTGGAGCCTGCTTCAGATTCTGTGTCTCCCTCTCTCTCTGCCCCTCCCCTTGCTCCCCTCTGTCTGTCGGTCTCTCTCTCAAAAATAAATAAAAACAAACAGACAAAAAAGAAAATGGAGAAAATACTCCTTGCCTCATAAGATTGTGTGAGGAATAAATGGATAACTTAGTATATTAAGTGCTTGGCATGTAGTAGTTGCTAAAAACATTAAAAAAAAATAGAGAAATAGTGTGGTTAACCCTGAGTCTAGTACAGTATCCCTGTAATGTCAGGTCTGAGCCCTACAGATGAACCATCTGGAAGAAACAAGAGCTCGGGAGGGAAGGAGAAGGCAGAATCCAGGAAGTCTTCTGATTTTAGCAGAAAATCTTGCGTTTTGGGTGCTGTGTCTTCTGATCTGACCGCAGAGCTCAACAAATTTGTCGAGACCCAGATCCTGGAAAGTTTTATGTGTCTGATCAATGAAAGCTCTTAGCTAATTTAGCTTCCATATACAAACAATCGGAACCGTCGCTCGGTCGCTTGCTTTGCAGATAATGTGGAATAATGGATGCTGGGTTAACAGGGTTATCTTTTACTCCCAGGCTCCTGTGTGCCCGATGACGATTGAGCATTTAAGCTGGGGACCTGGGGCCAGAGCCCTGCCCCTGGGATAGGCTGACCCATTCTCCGACTCAGAACCAAGTCCCATTAGTAATGGTCCTTGCTTGAAGGATGCTGGGCCATGAAATTCTTACGGTGTATGTTCTTGGCTCATTTTATGAACTTCTTTGGTTCTTGGTGGGCTCTCTCCGTCCTGTGATCAGCGCCCACAAGTTGGACATCTGAAAGGAAACGCCCGCACAAGGCATGCGGGAAGTCAGTGAGGCCAAGGCAGCTTCTCATTTCTCTGCTCTCTTCCTTAGAATCCTCTTCTGAGGCTTCTGGGCTGCCTGAGGGCCTTGGCCGAGTTGCTGCTGGGGGGCTGTAAGGTCAGGGAACCGCACAGGCAGGAGTGAGGGCAGGGAGCAGAAGACACCGAGATTACAGAGGGGCATGAATTCAATGTACTAACACTGTTGGGGAAGCACAGGAATGCACAGGTGGCTCAGGGACATGGGGACTCATGGGTCCCACTGGTAGGGTGATAGAGTTAGTATAAGCCACTCAATAGAAAAGCCTTAGAATAGAAAAATCTCCTGTTATTACTGTTCTGTTATTGTTTATTTCTCATGTGTCTGCTAAGAACAAGATGTACTTACAGACTGAGACTGGCCCATCTTGTTGCCTCCTCTGTCAGAAGCCTAGTTGTAAACTTGGGAAGGAAGTTAAAAATACAAAAAGCTTTTGAGCAGCCACAATGGATGGCCAAAGCCCAACTACAGAGCCATGCGCTGGGTGATGATGGGGGAGCTCCTCTGCTCTCGGCCATGACCCTGGAAGACTTCAGTGAGCTGGAGCCAGTCTAAGCCTAGCTCTTCAGAGGTTGATGGAGGGGATTCAGGGGATGCTTATAGGAAGACAAAGCAGAAAGTATAGACGAGCTTTGTAGTCGTCACGTCACCGAGTATCTGCTGTGTCTGGGCCTGCACAATTTCCTGTCTGCCTCTCCCTGGGCCTCTGCCCTGCCCTCTTTGTGGACCAGCTTCCTCTCTGATGGGGCCCCCACAGCCCCATCACTTGGCCTTGTGCAAGCCATTCACTTCTAGCTCTATGATCCACCACTAGCTGACTGTAGTCTTTGATCCCAGTTGCAATTTTGAAAGCACCTGATTGATCCGGCTCCCTTATGCGTGAGTTGCTCTTAACTAAGAGTTCCACTCTTTTCGTCCTTCAGGGGAGGCCCAGGTGTGAGTGTGGGTTGGGTGGCAGGACGACAGGGAGAAGAAAGAGTTGCCTGTTTGGGTGACACTGGAGGTCTGCAAGCCATCTGGCCAAGGATTGAAATAGCACTAATGGAGCCTCACATTCCTCCATCAGTCTGCAGATCGCCAGTGGCTGGGTGTGTGGGTGGAACGGCGGGGAGGGGGACTGATCAGCAGGAGAGGGGCCCAAGGCGAGGCTTCTCAAGGTATTTGCCTAGGTCACGGGGCCACAGGAATCCAGTAAGTCTGTGTAGACAGATTATTGGGTGAACTCTCCTTGTCTCAGTGAAGATTTGGCCTGGAGCAAAAGGCGGGGTAAGAGAGGCTAGCCAGAGAGAGATGGGGAGGGGGGCCTCCCTCCTGGTAAGAGGGCAGGTGAGTCTGCAGCCCCGTAGTCCACCAGCCCTGGAAGCACCTTGCTTCTGTTCCCTGGGGAAGGCTCGTTACCAGCAGGCTCCCAGCTGCTCACCAGCTCAGCTGCATTTGCAGGCAGAGGTCTCTTCCCAGCATGGCCCAGTCTCCCCACCGAGACTTTGGCTCCTGCTCTTTTGTCGGCATTAATTAACAGACGGCAGCAAAGTGCCCAAATGCTGTGACTTCTTATTTTTCCATGTCACCCGATGCCGCTGTCCTTTGCTCTGCTCTGCCCTGAATCTTTGCGGGACCTTGACATTTCCACCCCCTCAATGGCTCATTTCATCTTCACTGTCATCTGATGATGAAACTTCCTATCAGTGTCTGAAGTCTCATGGGATGACTGTTGTTGCTCATGGCATCTCAGGGTCTGTTCCTCTCGGACACCGTGCTTGTGTGTTACCACTCGTCTCTGTCCCTCAGGGGGTTTCCCACCGTTTCCTCCTTCCCGTTCTTACTCATGTACCCCCTCCCCAGCCTTGGTTAGGGGAGCTCATTTAATCAGTGGGTCTTATCTCCTACTTGGGCTGAGCTGAATGTGAATGTGAAGAGTGAGAATCCAGACAGCTGGTACTCCACTCTCATGTCCACCGTCAGGGTTACACGTGGTGAGCCAGGATGTAGGTGAGGGAGGGGCCAGGCGGCAGTGGGGAAGGAAGGGCAGAGGAATGGGCACCCTTCTCCATGGCCGAGAGCAGCGTATATGCACAGAAATCCTGGAGGCAGTATTTCAAGATGAGACATTTGGAAACTCTTTGACCCGGCATTAAGGAAATAACCTTGGATTTCCCCAAAGATTTAGTTTTAAGTGTTCTCTGTAATTACCATAAAACCATTGGAGATGGCCAGCCTTTGGGGGTGGGGAACCATTTCTGGTGTTGCCACACAGGGGCAAGTTACGTAGCCACTACCATGGGTCTTCAGAGGAATGCTGATGACACAGAACTAAGCCATGCCTAGTTCACTGCCTCTTTGTACAAAAATCTGGATAATTGAATAAAACGAGGAAGAGTGTGTTATCTGTAGTTACCTTGGGTGGAGAGGAATAGGTAAATTTTTTTTCCTTCTGCTGACTCAATTATATTCTCTAAAGTCTCTAGATTAAACAAGCATTCCTTTGATACGGGGAAAAAGAATTACTTTACAAACACATGCTGTCCACCCAGACAGCTATACTAATACGTGGCCTGAAAATTTAGTTCCCGTTAAAAATGCTCTCAAAATAAATTAGGAATTGAATTCACGTTTACAGCCTTCCAAACAACACACTGTAGGTCAAAGGGAGGCGGTGAGCAAGTTGGATGTGTTCGCTGATTGAAGTCAGGTATCCATAAGCCTTATCTAAACACAAGGCTTGGGGCCAGAACTGTACTTTTCTTTTTCTTGCTTTTCTTACTAATAATAGCAAGTAGCACAGGATTATGTGACTGTGGTAGAGTTTGCTTTGCTTAATCTATAGTGCACTGAAATTGCACAGCCCCAGAAGGGGTAGGTCTGGGTGAACAGAAGGGCAGTTTGGGGTCCCGGGAAGGAGCCTGGCTCTTGCAGGTGAGGCTGTAGTTCTGAAAGGGGCTCGGAGAGGTGTCAGGAGTGACCAGGGCTGGGAGTGGGAGGTGGAAGGGGGCTGCCCCTCCTGCATGTATTAACAAACGTGCTTCTGGTGCTTTGCGGCAACTTTTCTTTGTGTGTGTGTGTGTTTTTCCCTCTGTAGGTGAGGTAGATCCAACTGTGCAGAGCTCTACAGCCAGCGGCCCAGAGAGCAGCAGGAACGTCCCAGAGCCCAGCTGAAATGAATTGGCCTCCTTGAGCGTGCCCAAGTCCAGGTGGCCGGCCCCTGTCCCAGCCCCGAGGTAAGACCCCTAGAATCCCAGCCTGGGGACGGAGAGGGCAGAATGCCTCCTCTTCGGAGGTGGTAAAAACCTCTTCCTCTAAGGCTCAAGGGAGAAGGAGCAGTTGTTTCTAGGACAAGCCATCTGCTTCTATCTCAGCCCACTGGGGGGCAAGGGCATTTAGTGGCCACAGAGGCTTTGATTTTTCAGGCTTTGTGTTTTTCTCAGTTGCTGGTGAAATTTGAGCTCCAGAGGGGATGAATTCATCCTCTGTGTAAGATTGCACCAGATTCAGGTGAATGGCTTAACTTAGACGCACCTGGTCTGTTCTGCAAGGGAGGTTGAGCTCTTAGGATTCTCTCTCTCCCTCTCCCCTTCTCCTCTCCTCTCACCCCCCCCCAAAGGAGACAGAATGACAAAAATGACATGAGGAGGTTATTATAAAACATTCCACAAAGCTCACTAAAAAATGACTCATTTCCTAGATATGTTCTGATTGTGAAGGTAATATGGGCTCATAGGGTGTTTAGAGAAACACTGACATGGAAGAAAATGAAACATGCCTGAAATCCTACCCCTGTTAACAGTCCTTCAGCTAATTTTCATTAAGGTCACTCCCTCAGCCCGCATGGCATATTGCCGCGTCCTGTGTGGAGGTAGAGAGGTGAGGCCAAAAGAACACTTAATTAGGAGCCAGGAGAATTTGCTGCTAGTCTGGACGCTTTCAGAGAGCCGATTTTTAAATATTCAGGAGTTTTGCAAACTGCTTGCTAAAAATTGTTGACAGCTAGAAATTGGCCACGGTGGGAAAGTTTACCCCGCTGAAATTAGCCAGTTTTAGAAGCCAGGGCTTTTTGGTTTTGGAGACTCAGATTACTAGCTTGTTCAACCACCGACAGGCTGGGAGGCATGAAGCAAGTCACTTTCCATTCTTGTCCTTCTGTTCCTGAGGAGAGTAGTATTCAATAAGCATTAGTGGAATGGATGAACGAGTGAGATTTCTGTTCTCATTATCCCATGAGACGGTTGTGAGGCTCCCTGCCCGTGGGAGGGGGCTTAGGTGATTGGTAGACCTTTGGTTTCTCAGTGGAGAGAAGTCTGCTGGCCTTTCCCCACACCTTGGCTCTGGCTTCTTGGGAAATCTGTGAATTACTGACACCCTTTTATAAGGGCAGATAAAAACTCTCCATTTACTCACGGACATCTGGGGCATATTTCCTTCCTGGAAAAATCAAGGAGTCGGTCAAAGAAGTGTGAAAAGGAAGGCCCAGCACTGCTAGATGTGAGAGCCAAGACTGAAATTAGAGCTTTTGACTCTTAAATTCTACAGGGGGATATGGGGAGTGGGGGAGGAGGAGAAGGAGCACTTCCTGCCAAATGTAAAATTTAAACAAAAGCCTCTTTCTTCCAAGCCCCGCTGTGGGCAGATTAGAGCTAATTAAATTAGCATAATGGAGCCCCAGCCTCTGCCCTTCTCCCTCTACTTTCTCGGAACCTTTGGGCTCCCTGGGCCCCTAGCCCCACCCCGTGTATCTTGGAGGAGGGGATAGGGAGAAGGTAGAGCGTCAATTAAGCCCCAGTTCACTCTGTAGGATTGTAGCTCAGAGAATTAGAGAGGTGGAAAGGACTGGAGAGGCCATTTGGCCCTCATTTTAAGAAGCCAGGTCACACAGCTGGTGACTGTCGGTGGCCGGTGGCTGAGGGGGAAGGTGGGGGACCAGCCTGGTCCTGATCACTGAGCCCTTGTGTGCCACGGGCTAAGGGGACGTGGTGGATGGTCTCAGGGGCCAGCTCTGCCTCCACCCTTCTCAGACCCCTTCCCGTGCATCTGCTGCCGTAGCACACATGCGCGTGGGGCTTTTCCGGTGTGTTTTGGAATTAAACCCCCCTCCTCATCAGAGGTTTGGTTTTCCTCTGAAACCGGCGGGGCAGTTGCTATTCTGAGGACTGTTACGTGTGTACGAGGAAGGGCAGGGAAGGATCAGTGATGGCTCTAGGCACCAGGCTTTGTGCTCTGACTGCGAGGAATCTCATTTAGTTCTGCAACGGCCTCACAGGGTAATAGGTTTTTCTATCCCCACGAGGCAGATGTGGAAATTGAGTCTCTCCTGTGCAGAGGTAAAGAGACTCGGCCAAGATTTCACAGCCCATAGGCAGCAGAGATGTGAACTCAGCCCTTGCCCAAGATTTCACAGCCCACAGGCAGCAGAGATGTGAACTCAGCCCGGTTGTGGCTCCTCAGCTTCTCAGAACTAGCGGGTGCTTTTCACAGCCAAGTGCTGGCCTCCGGGGGCGAGAGTTCTCCAATGCAGCTCCTTCCGACAGACAGGCAGGCTCCCTTCCCTGGGGTACATCATTCCCTCTCTGAGGCTATGCGAGCAGCTGCAGCTGCATGCTGGGGGCTTAACAAAAGGCCACACTGTTCCTTTCAGATCCCAAGGACTCCTCATTCTCCAGTAAGATAGCATCAGAGCTGGAAGCATCCACAGAGGTCTTCAGCATAGTCCCCCTACTCAGGTGGTGGCCCCAGGTCTCTGAGTCATTTGGAAGCAGAGGCCTTCTCAGCCTCTGGACTCCAGGCGCCTCTGTTTGGTTGTCCCCCATGTTTGGGTGAGTGATTTTTCCTCTGACATGAGGGACTTACTTCAGTTTTGTGGATAGTTACCGGAAGCCAAGTGTGTGCCCGGCCACATCCTGTTTGGTCAAGAGGTTCTGTCCGGGCCTTGAGCATACACGTATGACGGGACCGGGGGAGGAGCACTACCACATGACACAGTACACGGCATCTGTTAGCCCATAGCCATACACCATCTCCAGGAATTCTAAAGGGAGAAATTGTCTCAATGCTCTGCGTGTCCCAGGGCTCCCGGGCCCCCGAAAATAGAGTTTTCAGAGCTCACGCTGCTAACTGGGGAGCAAAGCAGCAAATGTGGGTCAGAGCCTTTGGAAGATTCCTGCAGAGGGGTAGGACTGCGGCGAAGAGACAGAGTGGCAGAGGGGGAGATCGGGAAGGCACTGCTGAGCTAGGCAGCTGTCTGACTGGGGGCCTGGGGTTGAGCGGGGAGCGGCGCATACAGTTCTGTAGATAATCGAGAACCCTTTTCCTCTGTGGCACCTGATAGCTTCTGAAGCAGGAAAACCTCACTTCGGCAGGGCACTCAGAACATGAAGCAGGGCTGAAAGAGGTCCTCGGAAGGCCAGTTGATGGGCCTCCACATCTTCTTCCATTTGAGGAAATGGAGGCCCAGAAAGGGGAAGAGCCTTGCCTTTGACGCAGGTGGAGCTGGAGTCTGTTCTGAGTGTCTGGCCAGGGTCTTTCACACCAAACCACTCTGGCTGCATGGGGAAGAATGTTCCCAGAGGCAGGTACAACCCATTTCCTGCCTTGGCTTGTCTGGCCCCAGACCTGTGATGCGCTACGTTTAGCTATTGGAGGAATTCGTGGCTGTGGCCACCCAGAAGGCAGAGGGTGTCCTCTCGATGAGGTCGAAGATCCCCTGGCATCTCAGTGATGCCAGTTCTTCATTCTCCTCTGTTGACAGCCTTCCTAGAGGTCTTGTTGAGGCCAGAGGGTATCACTTCTTGCTTCTTGCTGGAAGTTCCCCATTGTCAGAAGACCTCACAATATGGAGAAAAGTGTCCCGGCATGGAGGCCATTTGCACTGAGTGTAAACCTGGCTTGACCATGGCTGTATGACTACCTGGCCTTTCTGACTCAGTTTCCTCATATGTAAAATGAGTGAAGATTAATAATTACATGCTGTTCTTCCCGCAAACTAGATGCCTATTAAATGGTACCCATTATTTTCTCCACCGAGCTCTCCGGAGGCCTAACTGACAGACAACAGCCTATAGTTATTTAAACTGCCCAACTTGATGAGTTTTTGACACATGTGTACACTCATGAAATTCTCCCCACAGTCTAGTTAATGGACTTAAGCATTAGCACTCAAAGTTCCCTCCTTCACCTTATCCGTCCCAGGCAGCCCCCAATCTGCTTTCTATCACTGCAGATTCATTTGCATTTTCTAGAACTTTAATAGTGTTCTGCTTATACTCAGCACGATTACTTTTAAGTTTTAATTTTTTAAAAAGTTTTTATTGAAACCCCAGTTAGTTAACGTACAACATGATACCAGCTTCTGGTGTGCAACGTAGTGATTCATCACTTCCAGACAACATCCGGTGCTCATCACAGCAAGCGTGCTCCTTAATTATTTTGATATTCACCCATGTTGTGTGCAGAAGTGGTCATTCCTTTTATTGACGAATTGTGTCCTACTGTATGGAAGTACCACTATCTGTGTATTCTTGTATCTATTGACAGACATTTGAGTAGTTCGCAATTTTTGGCAAAAATAAAACTACTATAAGCATTTGTGAAGAAATGTTGTGGGGATCTATGGATCCTTTCTCTTGCATCAATACCTAAGAGTGTGATGGCTGGGCCATGTCGTGGGTGTGTGTCGAGCTTTATAAGAAGCTACCAAATTGTTTTCTAGAGTGGTTGTGCCATTTTACATTGCCCTCCACCCTTCCATCACTACATGAGAGTTCCAGGTATACCACTTCCTTGCCAACACTTGGTATGGGCAGTCTTTTTAATTTTAGCTATTCTACTAGGTATGTCGTGATATCTTGTTGTTTTATTGGCATTTCCTTAAAGGTTAGTGATGCTGATCAGCTTTTCATGTGCTCACTTGCCTTCTGCCTGTTTCCTTACGTGAAATGTCTGTTCAGAATCTTTTGCTCATTTAAAAAAATAAAATTTGTTTCTTTGTCCTCTCATGCTTGAGTTGGGTCCTTTATCCATTCTACAAACAAATCCTTTGTCGGAGAGGTTTGGAAATGTATTTTCCATTTTCCAAGCTTGCCTGTGGTGGGAGACCATGATACATAAGCTAATCATCACAATTCAGTTGAGTATGTACAGGGAAGTGCAAAGGAAGGTCAGCAATCTTAGGGCAGGAGTCAGGGAAGCTTCTAGAAGGTGAATGCACGTGAATTGGGTTGTAAAGGAA